AATATTCTGCATTGCATTTAATTAATGCATCAAAACAACAAATCATTGAACCAATTGCTTGAAAGAATAAAGTTAAAAAGGGATATTTTTTTATAACTAAAGAATAACTATGTTTGATTTGATAGAACTTAATGTTACAGTCTAAGAAATCAAAACCAAATGTTGACTTTACTTTTTCTAATATCTTATCTTTTGGAGATGTATCAGCAGTAAAGATAACAATAGAATAATTAGGGAATGATTGAAGAAGAACTTTAATTATAACCCATAGTACCATTTCTCCTCCTCCTCCAGCAGAACAATTAGGATGGAAGAAAGCTATAGTCCTCTTTTTTTGGTATTTAAATCTTAAAATTAATAAAATTAAGATAATAATTGGTAAAAGAATACAGAAAGTAAGTAACACAACCATTTTATTTCTTTTTAGTTTTAATTTTTTTTTTTATTATTATTTTTTTTTAACAAATTACTTTAATATTCATTATTTTATTTAAAATTAATGGATAATACAGAAAAAATATTTATAAAAGTAGATAAAAAATAAAAAATAACAAAAAAAGAAAAGAAAAAGGAAATTTATTGAAATGATACTTCTTCTTATAACCTTCATTTCAATATGTAGAAGTCTTCCACTAACAAAAACACTTAATGTTTTATTTGATGGAACATGGACAGTGAGTGATCCATTGAAATCAACGTATTATTATTTAACAATACATGAAGTAGCAAATGAAGATTTTTATATTGGAAAGTTTAATAAACCACCACCTTGTTTTTCTCAATTTTATAAAATTAATTTCAACAACTTATTTGTTAATATAACTACAATATCCAATCAGTTTGTCACGGCTATTAGATTTGTAAATTTTAAGAATACTTTAGTTGGTAAATCTATTATGATTGTTTGTGGTAATGTAACTGAATACACTTTTACTATACTTCGTTCAAATTCTCCAACATTTACTATTTCTCATCGTAGTACTGTAAATATTACTAGAGGTTTTGTTGTTGGAACAAAACATAATATTCCAATACCTAAACATTCTTTCCTCCAACAACACTTCCTTAGTATTTTAGTCACGTGTTTCTTTAGTTTGTTTTTATTTTATTAATATATATAGTTAATTTTATTAATGTATATAGTATTTATTATTTTCAGTCATTTTCTTTCTGAATTTCCAGGGAATTGAAAATTAAATGTGTTCAAATGGTTTTTCTTTGTTACTCTGAGTAATTTTTACCAAGACTTAATTGAATTTCAATTTGGAAATACACATATTTAGTTAATATTATTTTTAAGTCAATCCTAAAACTGAACTAAAAAAAAGAATAAAGAATGATGCCTAAAGTAATGCAATTCATTATTCTTTTCTTATTTTTCATTTATAGTATAAATGGAAAAATTCATTGTAATAATGGTATTAAATTAAGTCATCAAATTAAACCTACTACTTTAGTATATCCTAATGTAAATCATGATAAATTAATTTATAATCAAACTGCTTGTGAGTTATTGTCCAGTCAAATAAATTGTTTGGATAATTACATTGTTTTTAATCGTTTTTAATAACTCATCATATAGGGAAAGTGATATCTGTTATTGGTCCATATCACTCTGGTAAATCATTTTTATTAAATGCACTAACAAATATTACAGACATTTTTCCTGTGGTTAATAGTAATAAACCAACTACACAAGGGATTCAAATATTTATTTCAGAGAAAGAAGGAATTATTTATTTAGATACTGAAGGTCTTTCAAGTGGTCTTGCAAATTCAACAGAGTCATATGATGCAATGATATATAGTATAGCTGCATTATCTAGTAACTTAATGATTTATAACACTATTCGTACTATTGATCAACAACAATTAGATTATCTTGAATTATTATCACGAAGGGCACAATTATTTGCTTTAAAAAGTGAATTACAAAATAGTGGAAATCTCACTAAATCATTTGTTTCATTTCCACCATTATTTTGGGTTGTTCGGGATTATGCCTTAGATGAAAGGACAGAAAGTTGGTTCTTTTCATTGTTAGAAGCAAGTCAAAGAAAAGAATTTGGTAAGGCAACATCAGAAAAGAATACAGAAAATGAGTCTATTAGGCTTCAGAAATTATTTGAAAAGATGAAAGCATTTACATTATTCCTTCCTCATGTAAATAAAGACAATTTAAAAGAATTAAAAATTCAATGTTTAAATGAAGAATTTTTAAATGATCTTCAAATATTAAGAAGATCTATACAAGAAGTAATTAAAGGAGTGGGAATATCAGCACGACAATTTTGTAGTACTATTAATTTTTATGTACATGCAGCAAATAAAAATTTATTTCCAGCAATTCCAAGTGTATGGAATGGATATATTAAATCATTAAAATTATCAGTAAAAGAATCAGTTTTAGATTATGCCAAAAATAATACAGATAAAATTAATGAACAAAATATAGTATTTACTGAAGAAGAGATTAATACTAAAATTGAAATTATTAAACAAAATTGTAAAAGAATTGCTGAAAAAATGTTATTTGGAATAAAAGATTTAACAGAAAATGTTTTACAAGATATTGAAATAGATATTTCAAAACCAATTAAAGAAATGAAAGAAATAAATGATGAAAAGATTCAAAAGTATATTAAAGAAGAGGCACAAAAGAATAAAAATGAATTAATAAAATTAATTAACGCAAATAATATGCCATTAAATCAAAAAGAATTAAGTATAATAATTAGTCAATTAAAGAAGCAATATAAACAACGAATGGATAATATTTTTAATAAATTTCATTCAACAAAAATAGATGAAGGAATAAAAGTAGAACTATTTCAAGAAGTATTTAATAAAAATAAAATCATTTTAAATGAAGTATTAAATTCTATAGCATTAAAAATTATTAATTTATTCTCTACTCAAACTGAATTAATGCCAAATAATAAACTTATTAATGAACTTAATCAAAGAATTCATCAATCATTATTATTTTTTGATAAAGACACTACTAAATTTAATGACTGGGAAGAAGTTTCAATTATTAGAAATAAAATTGAAAATCAATTAATAAATTTAAAAGAAGAAACAGTTAAAAAAAATCTTAAAGAATTAGTTCAATTTTTACAAAATGAAAAAAATGAAAGAATGAATGAATTTATTGAACAAATAAATACAATTAAAATGCCATTAATTGATAGTCAACTTAATGAAATTATTATTAAAATTGAAAAAAATATTTTACTTAAAATGAATTTTAATTGTAAGAAATTTATTAATGATGAAACTTATACAACTATTTTTAATGAATTACAATTATTTATTAATTCAAAAAAGAAATGTTTAGACCAACAAAATTCTGAAATGTTTGTTCAAATAACTCTTCATGATTTTGATAGAATTAGAAAACAAATAAAAAAAGAAAATCATTCATTTTTTAATCCATGGTCTTTAAAAAATGAATATAAAAAATTATATTCTGATGCTGTTGCTAACTCAATTCCTGATTTAAAAACTCGTAATAAAGTTGTTGAAAATTTCATTTTAGATGAATATAAAACTGAAATTAAAAATGCAACACTTAAATTTACAACAGTAATTATTCTTATTTTCTCAGTTATTGCAACTTTGTTCTACAAATTTTTTATGTGACTTTCATTAAATTTCTAATATAATAAATAAAATTCTTTTACTCTTGTTGTTGTTTTTTTTTTCATCAAATAGAAATTTATGAAGTAATTTATTAAAATATTTAATGTGGTTGTTTTACTAATTTCTTTCTAAGAGAAAAAAAATTCATTCAGATGGTTTATAATATTTTAAGTAAAGAGTATTATAATTTATTTTAATTTGTTCTTTGTTTGTAAATAACTCAAATTGCCTTTTTGCAAAATTATTAGAAATAAATTTCCCATCATTTTTATTATGGTTTAATCAAAATTAACTTCTTAATTCCAACTTCCACATTTATTCCAATTCCAATAAAAATTTTTTACTTGAAAATTAAACTAAATAAACCAAAAAATATAAATAAAGATGAGAATAAAATTATATTCTTAAATTTTATGATACATTCTAATAGAATAATATCCTGACTTTTTAAACTAATCACTAATAAGGTTATTTAAATATGATTGTTATTTCAATATTCCTTGGTATGATTTTATAAATATATTTTTATACTGAATATGTATAAAATCATAATATTATATCTTATAAGAAAGAACATTAATTATTTTACTAAAACATGAAATAATTTTCGTAAGTTATAAAGAATTAGTTATATTTATTATTACCATTAAATTTCAATATCTTTTTTTGAAGAAGAAAGAATTATATCAAAAAATTTCTTTTGTTAAAGAAAGAAAATGTATGTAAATGAAAAGAAATATATCAAAAAAAATTAATAAAAAAGTTATTATCATAAAGTAAAATGTCATTTCATTTTAAATATTTAATTATATTCTAATAACAATTACCTGTTTTATTCCTAATTTCAAATTATAATTAAATAACAATATACTAGAAATAAATATTTGTTATTTGTCAATTATTGTTATTACTCATTTTTATTTTGTATGTAGTTTTTAGTGTGTCTTTTTTATTATTACATATTCTTTTATTCTTTTTATATTATTAAAAACTTACAACTTAAATACCCCTTACGTTTTTAGTGTCTGTGTTGTTTTATAAACCTAATTTTTTCTCCTGTTTCATAAAAAAAATTCCTCATTTCATCCACAAATTTTACATGGTTAATTAGTCATTATTATTTTAAAAAAATCTATTTTTTGGTTCAAAAAATTTTCATATCAAATTCCTCTTTCAATCAACATACTTTTGCTTCTATTTTTTGAATTTTTCAACCATTTAAAAATCCTGATTATTAAAATCCAAATACATCTTTTTATTAAAATAATAATTTTATTTAGACTTTTTACATAAAAAAAAGAGAAATTAATACAAAATTTTCAGTTCATGAGAACTGAAAATAAAAAAAGATAAAATTATAATTTTTTAGTAAAAAAAAAAAAGACAAAGAATAAGGAGTTCTAAGACTAACAGGAGCAAAGCACTAAAAATAAAGCATATGAGTTGGCAGAGGTATTTAAAAACCTAAAATTAAATGTACGAATATAAACAAGGGATATGTCAATGAATATTCAACTTACTATCATTGGAGCTCGTAACATTAAAGCTGCAGATATAACTGGTACATCTGATGGATATGTAAAAGTAAAAGTTGGAAAAAAGAAAGAAAAAACCAAAATTGCAAAACCATCATTAAATCCAGATTGGAATGAAACATTTAACTTCCAAGTAAGTCCAAAAGAAGAAATTCAATTTAAATTATATGATCATGATAAAATTGGTAAAGATGATAAACTTGGAAAAGTAAAATATTGTATTCCACAACTTATTAATGGTGATACAATTTATGAAATTCTTAAAATTGATGAAAAGGGATTATTGTACATTTCAATTAAATGTATTTCAGGTGGAATTCCTCTTCAATATCAACCAGTTCGAAGAGATACTAAAGTATTATTAAAAATTTCAATTCCATGTGTTTATTTATATCCATGTGTTATTCCACAAGAAGCACTTAATAATAATAATTATAATGTTAGAGTTGGATTTAAAACATCTATGACTGAACATCAAAAAACTAAAAAAGTTAGAGAATTATGGTGTGCTAAATATGAAGAAGATTTTTATTGTTGGGTTAAAACTGGTGAAAAAATTAAATTTGAATTAATCTTCAAAGAAACTCTTGGAATTAAAGACGTTTTATTGACAACTGGAACATGGTGTGTTCCTGATTTACTTGATGGTGAAGAGATCAATGCTAAAGTAAGCTCTAAAAAATTTGCTACATTTAATGTTAAAGTTAAATGTATGAGAGGAATTTATCATAACGTTGCTCCTAATGAAATTCCACCAATGTATGATCCAAAACCCCAACAAGTTTATAAATATGAAGTTTTCATTGAAAAAGCTGAACATTTAAAAAATAAAGATATTATTGGAAAGAGTGATCCTTATGTCATTATTAAGACTGATAAATCAAAGAAACAAAGAAAGTCTGTTACTTTCTTGAATAATCAAAGTCCTAAATTCATGGAGGCTTTCAAAGTTAAAGCAACTGTTGGAAGTGAAATTAAATTTAAATTATTTGATCAAGACCCAGGAAAAGATGACAAAATTGGAAAATGTAAGTTAATTGTTCCAAGTGACCTTAAAGAAGGTGAAGTAAGAAAGTTTAGTCTTGAAGTTTCTAAAGGAAAGAATGCTATGTTATATGTTGAACTTAAGAGAATGAGAGACTTCACTTGTACCTATGCTACTAGATTCCTTGGTTTTAAACCATCTGCTGCTCCAATGGGAATGCCTCCAATGCAACAACCAGGAATGCCTCCAATGGGTTATCCTCCAATGGGAATGCCACCACAAGGCTATCCTCCAATGCAACAACCAGGAATGCCTCCAATGGGTTATCCTCCAATGCAACAACCAGGAATGCCACCACAAGGTTATCCTCCAATGGGTTATCCTCCAATGCAACCTGGTGCTCAACACTAATTCATTGAATGATCTCTAACTTACAAGTAGTGTTAAGGTAACAAATTAACTTTATTCTTCCTAATGGTTTTAGTTATTGTTTGTATTTTTGAAAGTCTGTTTTAAAAAAAAGTATAGAATTTATTGTATTTTTTGATACTATTTCATCACCAAAAATTGTTCTAACAGTTCTAAGTAAAATTCAATATTGTAAGTGATGTCATTTAGTTTGGTTGTTATATTACTTATTAAACTGATATTAATGAAATTTCTGATAACAAATAAATTTAAATTGTCTATGAAACAAGCATTTAAAGTATCAAAGTATTAAACGTATTAAATGAAACTAATAACAATATAAAAAAACAACACTCTTCTTTTTGAATGTTATGAATCATTATTTCAAAGATATAAAGGTAGTTTGTATTAAAAATAATAAATACGATTAATTACACTCAAGGATAAATAATTCCGTATCACAATTTTATATCTCTAAAACCATTTTCATAATTAAAATCAAAAAAATAAAGTATTATAATAAGTAAATAATTATCATTTACTAATGACATAAACTTAATTAATTCTTCCACACAATTGAAATACTAAATATTTATATTGTATTGTTACACATTTTCTTTATCTTTAACATAATTTACAAAAAAAAATAATAAGTAAAAACCAGCCAAAGAAAGATAAAGTTACAACCCAATTCTTATTTATTAAATAAAACTAAAAGTTGGATATAAGAAAAAGCACAAAAGAATGACATTGGTTCCTTTAAATCAAAAACAAAAGAAAAAAGAGAAATAAATTATAATTTATCCCAAGCAAGTTTTTTTCCTCCAAGAATATGGAAATGAATATGTTTAACTGTTTGACCAGCATCTTCACCAATATTATTAACCACACGATATCCTTCAGGACATTCTTTCTTTCCAATTAAAGAGACTTTGTACAAAACTTTACCAATAAAAGCCTCATTTTCTTCAGTTATTTCATTTAAAGAAGCAATGTGTTGTTTAGGAATAACAAGAATATGAATAGGAGCAATTGGGTTAATATCTTTAAAAGCAAAAATTTCATCATCTTCATAAACAATAGTTGATGGAATTTGTTTTTGTGCAATCTTACAGAAAATGCATGAATCAGCCATGCTTTTTGTTATTTTGTTTTTTAGATTTTGTTTTTATTTTTTTATTTTTCAAAAAAATAAAAAACATTTCCTTTAAATACTTTAACAACGTTATCTTCTTTTCTTATTTTTCAGTCCAATTGTAGAGTCATTGTTTTTATGACTTTAATTGGTCTTTCTAATATTGTTCTATACTCATACATATGATGTTGTTTTTATTTCAATTACAAGAAGTGAACAAGTTGTGGAGTTATGTTGAATAATTACGTTAGCACCTTCTACTGATGTTTTATTCAAAAACAATAAGACTGATTTAAAGATGAAAAAAGTCTCTTAATAAAAGCATTCCAATCCTCCTTTTTTGGCAGAGAAGAAACTCTAAGAAAAGAGTCATAAAAATAAGATAAATGAAAAAAGAAAAAGAAAAAACCCTAAAATGAGACAAAGAAAAACCCTTCACATCTTAAAAGTCTTCAAAACATGGCAAGTGATATTCCAACTGAACAAATTGAATCAACAGTTGAAGCAATTCAATCTTTTGATGCAATGGGAATTAAAGATGAATTACTTAGATCTATTTATTCATATGGTTTTGAAAAACCATCAGCTATTCAACAACGAGCTATTGTACCATTAATGCAAGGAAGAAATTTAATTGCACAAGCACAATCCGGAACTGGTAAAACTGCAGCTTTTTCTATTGGTGTTCTTCAACAAATTGATACCAACAGTAAAGTTTGCCAAGCTATTCTTCTTTCACCAACAAGAGAACTTGCTCTTCAAACACAAGAAGTTGTTAAGAATTTATCACAATATCTTGATATTAAAACATTTGCTTGTATTGGAGGAACATCAGTAAGAGAAACTATTGAAGCATTAAGAAATGGAGTTCAAGTTGTTGTTGGTACTCCAGGTAGAGTTCTTGATATGCTTGATAGACAAGCTATTGATCCAAATACAGTTAAATATTTAATTCTTGATGAAGCAGATGAAATGTTAAGTCAAGGATTTAAAGACCAAATGTACACCATTCTTAAATCACTTCCATCTACTGTCCAAGTTGGAATGTTCTCAGCTACTATGCCAGCTGATGCACTTGATATTTCTAAGAAATTCATGGAAAATCCAGTTAAGATTTTAGTTAAAAAAGAAGAACTTACATTAGAAGGTATTAAACAATTTTATATTGATGTTGTTAAAGACGAATATAAAATTGATACACTTATTGATCTTTATCAAGTCATTTCTGTTAACCAATCAGTTATTTTCTGTAACTCAAAGAATAGAGTTGAATGGATTCAAAGAAGACTTCAAGCTCATAACTATCCTGTTTCAATTACTCATGGTGATTTAACTATGGAAGAAAGAAATAACGTTTTAAATGAATTTAGACAAGGTGCTACTAGAATTCTTATTACTACTGATATGTTGTCTAGAGGAATTGATGTCCAACAAGTATCTCTTGTTATTAACTTTGATATGCCAGTTTCTGATGAATCTTATATTCATAGAATTGGTAGATCTGCTCGTTTCGGAAGAAAAGGTGTCGCTATTGATTTTATTACTACTGAAGAAATGGATACTATCAATAGACTCCAAAAGACTTATGAAACTAAGATCGTTCCATTACCAAAGACTTTCATGGATTACCTTTAAATTTCTAAATTGAAAAGTTAAAAAAAAACATTTTTATAATTTTTCATCTTTTTTTTGTTTTTTTAAATTATTTTTAATAGAATTTCTTTTTTTTCTTTTGTATTATTAGTCCTTTTTAAGATCGAAGATGACACATCTAAAACACTACACACAAACACTAATACAATTCAAGCATCGACACTCCCAGTTATTATCTGATTATGACGGTGTATTTGAATTAGAAATGTATTAGGTAAATGTGGAAATGGTGGAGCAAGATATTATGGTAGAATATTACATGATTGTAATATAAGGATTTGCTAAAATGAGGGTAAGACAATCACAATAATATAATAGTAATGAAATAGTCTCTTCTCTCATTCATAAAATAAAGAAAAAAGGAAAAAGAAAATGTTTAAAATTAAGACAGAAAATAAACAAAAGGTTAAAAAGAAGAATTAAGCAGAAGAAGTTTGAAAAACCTTAATAGGAAAAAATAAAGCAAAGAAGTGATTTTAACATTTTGCAAGAAAAACATAAATGATAGGTTAAACAAAAAGATTACTCTTTTTTAAATATTGAATGGATTAATCTCCGCTAAACTAGGAAGAATATATGAAAAATCTATTAACACTTAATTAATTGCTTTGTTATTTATTCATTGAGTTATTGTAAAAATATAAAAGTAATTTGTTTAAAATAAAATGGTAATAAAAATAATGATTATTGATATTAATAACGTGGATTAACTATTTAAACTTCAATATTTTGAACTTATAAATATCAAATTAAATTAAAATGGAAGAGTTAATAAACAAAAACAATCAATTAATTAAAGAAGTAGTAGAAACACTTCCAAATATTCAACAATCAATTGATGATACTACTAAGAATTATCAATATTATTTAGGAAGTATTAAAAATGAAGTATTTACAATAAAAGATAATGAAACATATTCAGAAGCAATTAAAAGAGGAGAAGGAATATTTGATAGGATTGATGAAGTAGTTAGAAGAAGAAAATTAGTGATAGAGAAAGGAAAAGAAACAGTAAATAAAATAAAGACAGTAGCAGATAAAATGTCAAGAATCATACAAGAATGTACTGATGATGAAGAAACAGTAAATAAAGCGAAGAATGAACTAATAGATAAAATCATTCATATGGAAGAAATGATAATGAAAGATAAAATTAGGCAATTAGAAGAAGAAATTAATAAAGTTAAAACACGATTTAATAAGAATAAAGAAGAATGGGAAAAGCAATACAGTGATTATTTAGAAAGGAAGAAGAGACTTAGTATAATGAGAGGGATGAATACAATGGAAGAAATTCATCAAATAGAAGAATGGACAAATAGAAAAGTAGGAAATATACTATTTGATTCAGATATTGATGATTGGAATGATAATACAACAGTATTTGGAGAAAGAATAATGAATAAAGAACATCTAATAATTATGATTGAAGATGAAGAAGGAAATAAATTTGGAGGATATGTTAATGAGAAAATTGATAAAGTTGGTTGTTTTATAAATGATTCACAATCATTTGTATTTTCATTAGAATCAAATGGAAGATTAGAAGGAATGAAGAAATTTGATATTAATCAACCAGAATATGCATTTCATTTATATAATCAATCAGATGATTGTTTGTTTTCATATGGAGATGGTGATATTTTTGTTTTTAAAGAAAATAATAAAACGTATTCATGGTGTAAACAAAATTCCTTTGAATATGAAGGAATTGAAAATGCACTTTGTGGAAAAGAATTGCCAAGTCGTTTTACACCAAAACGAATTATAGTAATTCAAATGAAATGATTCAATCTTTATTGATTGAAAATGAAATAAAAAAGAATAAAAACAAATCAATGAAGAATATGAACATTTTGTTCATCTTCCAATGAATGAAATGGTGAATTAAAATTGACATAATTCAATGTTGATTAATTCATAACAACCATAAATGAATTAAATTTAAGTATAATGAAAATAAATAACTGGAAATATTCAATGAAACAATATAAGTTAGATAAAATAAAAGATAAAGATAAGTAATTAACAAAAAGAATAAAATAAGTCTAATAAATGATAGTGACTGACATTTCATAACACAAAACCAATGGAGATAAATGAAGAATAGAAATATAAATAAAGAATAGAATAAAGAAAATAGAGAAGTAATAAATGTTAAAATAAATTGAATAATAAATTGAATTGAATAGAATAATAAATGAAGAAAGTTAGATTAATTAAAGATTTGAAAATTGACAATAAAAAAGAAATTAAAAGCCAATATTATTAAAAATATGAATGTTATTAAATATTGATTGTACAATATTATAAAATACTCTGTAGAGTTGTAAAAAGAAGACAAAATGAATATATTTTCTTT